GACCCAGGTGCAGGACCTTGCACTTGGCCTTGTTGAACCTCATGAAGTTCACACAGGCCCACCTCTCCAGCCTGTCCAGGTCTCTCTGGATGACACCCCGTCCTTCTGGTGTGTCAACCGCACCACTCAGATTTGTGTCCCTTGCCTAACTCCAATCAGCTATGTGAAGCCAAAAAAGACCCAACAGGACACATAAAGAGAGCTCCATCAGGACTGTCTAAAACATTGGTGGCAATTAGCAGTTGAGGTTCATGAACATGACACAGGCAAACTGGATATTTCAATTTGGATTCCCTCCTGTTCCCATGCCTGCCCTATTTGCTGATCTGTTGTGGGGCTGTCTCTCTGAACCCAGAATTTTCCTGCTGGCATTCAGAAATAACTCTAATAAATGTCTTCCTAGAACAGAACACTACAGAAAAATATTTTGCAGTTAACAAATTTAAAAAAAAAAAAACAACAAAAAAAACCCCAGCTCTTTAAAAAAAATACCTTGTATTTATAACCATTTTCTAAGTTGAAAGACAAGGACCAATCCCTCAGCTGTTATAGTTTACCCCACAAAATAAGTTGAGTGCTTTTTTTCCAAGTGTAAGGTAAACCATTCGTACAGAGTGTGATTATCTTTTTTAGGAGAACCGTAAATATGTATTCATTATATTCTATTTTGTACTTTATGCAAGTTAGATAAAAGTTGGTATAATCAGTGAAGATGTAATTGCAAGGCACTCCACTGAATCACTTGTGTACTGAAATGCTCTAAGATGGCACATCCCCACTTCAGGGAGCTTTTATATAAAATCCATTACTATGCAAAACAACCTACATGTCATTCTACTTTGATATCCAATTTTCACTTTTGCTAAAGGACTGTAGTGAACTCATTTAAATAGAAATCAGCTCAAAGAGGAAAACGTTGATTTGTATTCAATCATACTGTTAGGCCTTTTGAAGACAAGCAATGAATAATCTCCTCAGAGAAAATTAGTTTCAATTGTTGATGTTTTAAAACATCAGGTGCAAAACCTGTCCTCCATATTCCTTACCTCTCACCAGAGGGTGTGAGGAGAAAAAATACCTCAAAGACACCAGTAAACCTGGATCCCCGTTTAAGTCTCCTGAGCTGATGAAGAGGGTTACACAGCCTGGGTGATTAGTCTGCAGATGATTGCTTCCTCAGCTAAAAGATTTGTATAAGGCTACATCAGTAGCTGAACCATTTAATTTGCGATGTCAGATGTGACATGATTTTGTTCCTTCTCTATGGTGTGGCAATATTATTTCCTATTTTCCTCTGCCAGAAGGTGTGGCCTCACTAAGACTGGGATCAGAGAAAGGATCTGTGTCTCATTTACACAAAACACAAATCAAGCCATCACCTTGCCCTTTTGGTTTTTTTTAAGTTTGCATCACTTTCATGAAGAAAACTCTCCTTACAATAACAGCTGATGTTCTGTCTTTTACTATTATCAACCCTAGACCAGTCCAATAGGGGGAATATAGATAAGGGGATTGCCTGAATGTAGGTAAAGTGCAGGAGCAGCTCCTCTGTTTGTAAAAATCTGAATCAGGAAGCCAGGGATAAGAAGCTGTTCTGATGTGAAAAAACTGTTAGAGAAGAATATTCTCCCTGTAATGTCAGAGACAGGTGCTGAAAGGTAGGATCTTAAGTTTAGCTTCTCAGAAGAGCCTAAAAGAGCTAGATGCTGAGCTGGTATTTTAGACTCCTCTGAAAAACCTAGTCTATGTTCTCATTCAGACAATTAAGAAAGTGAGCTAATTTTTTGCAGCTGTATCCTAAAAGTTTTCCCATTTAAATGTATTAAGTCCGTAATTTCAGAAACCCTTTTTGACCAAAGTTGATTCAGTTGTCACTGCCACAGCCGGTTTAATCTCAGAAGTGGCTTGAAGCAGAAGGTGATGGGGCAGGACATAGTAGGCATAGCCGATTCAATCCACATTTCCTTGTGCAGTAAGGCAAGTAATAAATATAACCAGCATAGAGCTAGGATAGATAGATAGATAGATAGACAGATAGCTAGATAGATATACTAGCATATACCTAGAATAGCTAGTATAGTATAGAGCACCTCACCAACAGATGATGAGGCTCCATGGGCTGAATCTTCTACTAGTACACATGACTACAGTACTGTCAAAGCAGTTATCTAAGATGACATTTTATTCTTTAAGTCCAAGAATCTTTCTGAAGAAATTAGGTGACTAAGGGAATAAAGCTTACTTGTTACGTGTCTTCAGTAAATGAATTTGAAGATGAGGTATTAGAGACTAACAAAGACTCTAGAGATGAAAATAAGTTGCAAAATAAATGTGCAGAGGTAGAAGGAAAAGCAAACATCTTGGTTTGAGACTATGACACAGAAAAGTGTGAGCAGATTTGAATATTATATGCAACTGGTAATAATTTATAATAAAATAATAATAATAATTCCATAGAGATGAAAAATATAGAGCTTCACAGGCAATTTGCAGATTCATTGCCTGTCCAATAAGATAGGTGATTCACTACTGGTGTTACAGAACAGTCACTCTAACAAAGAAAGTAATGGTTTTGTTCTAGAAATTTGATCATTGATGGCTATTGTCACCCTCAGACTGAAAAGACATTAGTATTCCAGCTATGGGCAACCAATTCTCTGGCCCATATTCACTTGGAGTACATAAAGCTTTTCATCTGAATTGCTGAGGTGCATAGGAATAAGACTCTGATCCCTCCAACCGCTCGTTTGGCCAGTCTGTCTCTGTCATTCCTCCCTCAATCCTCCTCTGGATTTCTGCTGGCTGGATGAAATTCCTCAGCATATCCAGGAGTCTTGCAATACATAATCACAACAATGCAGCTATCTGTGCTAAGCCGACCAGAACAGATCCTCTGGGCCTCCATGGAAATGGTCTTTCTTTTCATCACTTTGTGGAAATTATAGGAAGCCCTACAGCTGCGTAATCAGAGGGGGGCATTCTCCAGTTACCTCGGCACATTATGCCAAGGAGGAGAAATTTTTACTTTACTCCATAAAAAATATGTTCTGTTGTCTGGAAGGATTTGTTGTTTATCTTTGTGGTTGTTGAGCTATATTCACAGCAAGTTTATGCAAATCCTTCTTCACTTATTGGCAATTAACAGCCTTCTGCTTCTCAGAGTATAGAGATTTATGTACTTCTCATTGGCTGCAGATAAATAAATATATGGTGACTATGCCAATTGGATTCCCTGGGCAAAGCAAAGTCCAGAAAATCAAAAAGCTGGATCCACTGGTAAATCAAGCCTTCATCCACTGCATGGGGTAGATGAGCATGTTGGTATTGTGGCTGATTTATGCATCAATTCTTGACATCACATTTGCCTGGTAGATATTAACACACTGATTTTTACAAAGCTAGCTCATCTGGAGATGGGAAGCTTAGGTTTTTTCCTCAGAGCACTTTTATTTGCCACCAGTAGGGAAGGCTACTGAATCTCTATAGAGTATGTTTTCCTTACAGAAGCTCAAAAGAAACAAATGGAAGATAATGCTGATTTGGTTCAAGAGGAATGCATATCAGAGAATGCAGATAACTCTACAGAAGAGCCAATTGAAGGAGGGCCAGATGCAGATGGGGATGGAGAAGAGATGACTGATGGAATAGAGGAGGATTTTGATGAGGATGGCAGCAGTGAGCTGGTAAGGAATAACCATGCCATGTCTGTCTATACAGTTGCTACAAGTAACCACAGAGAACCAACAATCTGGGTTAACAAAAAAAAGCTCACAGCAGCACTTGCGACATTCTGTAACTAATGCCTTGTCCTACATTCTTCATACACTATAGTATCAATTAGGCCTAGGGCCTTCTGAGGATAAGCAAGAAAAATATATTTTACTACACTTGGTGATTTTAGAAAGGAAATGAAATGTACTTTAAATTGGTTTACATTTATTATTTTATGTTTAATGACATGTAGAGGAGGGGGCAAAAAAAAAAAAAGAAAAGCAGTCATGTTTTCCTAACTGAAGCATTTTAAAATCAAATAAGATTCTAGAAAGGAGAACTTTCTCATTAGTAAACGTGTGCTCCCCATAATTCCTACTCCCTGTCTTCCATGTGTATTTTCTGCAGGCTGCGTTGGCAGCTACAGATTTTTTTGGTGGAAGGATTTTTCTCTAAGTATTGTTTGGCTAAGAAATGTTTGGGTTTTCAGCCTGAGCCTGCACCTTTCATAAAATGCCCATCAAGTTGTTAAACTTCTAAGTTCTTCCAGACAAACGTTAAAAAAATATTTTGAAAGGCAGATTTATACTTTTTTCTTCGGTCCTAATAAGAGTGGAACCATCATATTGTTTTAGACTCTATAATATTCTCCCTCTCTTCCCAGCTTTCATATTCATTTGCTTTGAGCAGAAATCACTTCTGTTGCTCAGTGTCACTGTCCCTGCTTGCTTTTTAACACACATTTAATCATGTCCATACTGTAAAAATCATTCAGTGATGCCAACAGAAGTCAGTCAGCAATGGGCACAGCTGAACCAGCACCAAGTCTGAGTAACGGGTCATGTGAATAACCAGTGTTTTGTACTGCTTACTGCAAAAGCAATTTAAACCTACTGCTAACTTGAGGGTCTGTGTCCCTTTAGCCAGCACAAGGTCCTGTTGAATTTATAAATTCTGAATACCATTATTCCCAGAAGAAGCTACTACAACCTGAATCCCCTCGTCTTTTAACATGCAATGGAGAATAAATGACATTATCACTTTTTCTCAAAGGAACAGGTTCTCCTGTACAGGTATGAGGGACCTCTGTAACCAGTTGCCACTCTGTAGGAAGTTGAAACTTTGTAAGGAATAAAGAGTTGTAAGTATAATATCCCACCATGGACAATACCTGATCAGCTGAAGTGATATTAGCAATGGGGGTGACCACAGTTTAGCAAAACTGGTGGGTTTTGCACTAATTAGGTGTCAGACTCCCTGCTGCAGACAACTAAGTGGGGAAGTTAACGTGTGGCGTATTAGCTTCTGACTGTTCAGTGCTGTCATTGCACCCTGTGGGTGTGACATATTTAGCATATATCTACACTATATAATGAAGTATGATGTAGAAAAAAATTTTCATCTAGAAAAGTCCTAAGCAAGACAGATTCTAAAAAGCAAGCAGCACAGGAAGACTTCATTAGCTGCAAAAGTCTGGAATCAGCACAGCCACATTTGCACACCACTGCTTCCAAGTTAAAAAGCCTTTCCAAGATTTATGTTATGGCATTAGTTGAAGTGCAGTGTGTTGCAGACACAGCTCCAAAGACAGCTCAGAGGTCTGAGCATCTAAGGCACAGGAAGGAACCAGCTCCAATTTCTCTGCATGCCATTACTGAGCCGCTTGAGTGCCCGGAGGAGGTGGCTCGCTGCACACAGAGAGAGGTGTCCTCTGCCTTGCACCCTAGCACTCATGAATGATATTTCCCCAACCCCGACATGGTGGTAGCAAGGAAAGGCCAAGGAAGAGCGCTTGCGTGCGTCATCTTGGCCAAGTGCACCCCGTCCCAGTGCCAGGGCATGGAGCCAGGCAGCCTCATGTCTTCCACCTTCCCAAATGCTGGGACCCTCTAAGCGAGAAGCTGGCAGTATTGCACACTTTAAAGCTCAGAACTGAGATTGCCACTGATGTAAAATCCTTGTGCTTTTCATCCTCCCTTGCCATTTTCCTCAGGCTTTGGAAGAGGCCACTTCACCTTAATTTTCCTCCCTGCTACGATGGGATAACAACACTTTCTTTCTTTTGCAAAGCCTAGGGAGATCAGTGAATGAAAAACTGCTATGGATTGGATAAAGGATTGCTCTACAAAGGATTACTTCAAAGAAATCTCAGGCAAAGGGTGTTTCCCACAGAGAGGCAATTATAAATTGGACTGTGCATCTTTCCTCTGCAGTTTTTACCCAAACACTTGGCAGTATTGGCCAGTAATGTTATAATACGAAGCTGGTAGTTTATGAAGCATATTGTAATTTAGTCTGTTTTTTCAGTTATACTTACATACATTTATGCAGATATAATGGCCAATTCCTGTAAGTTTTACTTTCCATTCCAATCACTGATAGCTGTATAACTGGAAAGTCAATAAGAATGCTATCAAATATATCACGAATACCCCAGTAGGAATGCTTGGGATTTCAGTCTGCTTCTATCTGTTCTGTGCCCTGCTATCTGGCATTACTCTCTGTTTTGTGAAAATTAAAGTAGATAAATAAGCTTGATATAAAACAAGAAGTCCTAACAGAGGTTGTTCCCCTGGTTTATGAAAATTGTTTAGGAAAAAGAACTGATTAATAGCAAATGTATCATTTTGCAATGGAACCAGTTACAACTCATTTGAGGGGAAAAGGGGGTGTTTTAGCAGGAAAAGTGTTAAATGCGAAACACTTAGGACAAACTTTCCATGTGCAAAAACATAACCTTGGACTCAGAATAAGAAATACCCCTCCAAAGAGCATTTTTAATGAAATCTGCAATCTTTCCAAATATAAAGCTAAAGGGATTTAGCATGAAGACGAAAAAAAATCTTTTCTTTCACCACTAAGAGCAGCAGAGCAAATAGAAAAACATGTGAAATGGGCATAGCTAATGTTCTGAAGTCAATTCTGCACTAAAAATTGGTTGTGAGTCCGCTAGTCTGAAAAATATTATTAGAGGGAAAGATCAACCTGACTTAAATGTAGATCTTAACGTTCTTTTGCAGTGCTTCCCATTTAGCTGTAAATCTCCTGCCAAGCCATTTGCCAATAACATGCTGCAGGACTCTTTTTGCTGAACACAATACTCTGTTGCCTCTCTTTTGTTTCCCCTGTGACCAGCCCCAAGGCTGTCAGTGAAGGGAAGCGTTCAATAAGGGCAGACCCACTGCCAGAGTCCAGACACTGCCTGAATGGAGCCTCTGAATCTGTGTATGTGGGTCTGCATCTTTGGACTAGATGACTCAAAAATATATTTCTGTCTCTATTTCCAATTCTAACTTGCAAAGGAAGTGACTATGCAGGATGCCTGCTGTGGGTTTAGGTGGTAGGATCGGTTCTCTAAATTCACACACTGTCTGTTTGGGGGAACAGGCTACTGCACATTGACTGAGTGATGGCAGCTGTCCTCATGCCTGCTTTCAGCCTAGACCAACTGTAAAGAAATGTGAAGTAGTTTAGCCTGCAGTCTGAGTTAAGTCAGGCGTGGATTTAAGGAGGCTTTAGCCTCTTCATTTGCCTGCCTGGCTGCACACACAAAACCACATCACATTCAACAGCTGTACACCTTTTTTATCCACCATTTAGACCAGGATGTTGTTCATCCCTACATTGTCATTTTCTATGGACTAAAGACATGCCCACAATCAGTCGTTATGGCTCAGCTGAAGTGTGAAAAAGTTTTACGCCACAATAACTTGATTGTCCATCTGAACTCTAATTCAAGACATACTGCATTTGAAGTGCCTGCTACAGTCACCAAATATCACCTCTTGGGAAAGTTTCTTTTGTACCAACCCTTGGCCCACAAATATGTCTCAGTAAGTGTCTCCAGCACTTCAGACACTTCAGACACCAGAGGATCTTTTTAGAACAACCCCCTAAGATTTTTGCTGCATTGACATACCGAAGAGTTCTTTAAATGGTGATTTCAGATATGTGATCCATCTATGTACGGATATGCTAGGAGAGGCTGACAGAGTCAAATAGTTGACTTCCGCTTGTTCAGTGAAGAGCGTCATATGCTTCTCACCCTCCTGCTCTTGCACGTTGGCCTTCCACTGCCCCTTGTACAAGGGCATGTGATAATATATTCTAGCTATAAATATAAAAAAAAAATCACTAACTTGGAATGTAGCTCCTGAGCTTATTCTGCAACTCAGATCGTTTAACTGATTATCAGAGAGAGCTGGAGTGGATGAAAACTTTAGGTGTGTTTCCTTTGCTCCTTGTAGATAAAAAACCCAAGTAGTTGTTCATCCCAGATTTTATGGGACCCATGAGTCAGGCTTTCTATTCGCTCCTCACATTGAACAGTTTCTAGCTGCAGTGAATTAAAAATCTTTGTGTTGCCTCCTAGTGTGAACACATCCACTCATTGCTTTTAATCTAAACTACCCTTCAATAGCCCTGTGTAGAAAACAACACACTTACGCAGCTTCCCATCTTGCCTCACAGAAAACAAGCTCCTATAAAGAAAGATCTTCATGTTTACTAAATTTACCTCACAGACAAGTCACAAACAGGCCACAAATCATCAGAACACAACTCATCAGTGATATCCAGCAGTTTTCAGGTGCCTGGCACAGCTTTAAATTGTAAGGATTGGGAAGGAAAGCCAATAACCTCCTCTATTCCTGTGTCTGCACAGCAGAGAACAGAAAAGTCACTTTTGCTGCACATTCCACCACACATTTTGATATTTGTAAAGCAGCATGGCCTCAGTGCCTCTAAAAAAAGCCCCTTCTCCTTACGACAGGTAGCGTAAGCAGTGTGTGGTGCGGCTGAGAGCATGCAGGAAAAGCATTTGTGCATCAGCTTGTGCTGTGGTTTCCTTGTTCTGCTGGTTTAGCGGCTGGGCAACCCAGTGCAGGCCCGGAGCATTTCATGTAACTACTCTGAACTTGTTTCAAATAGCATTAATCAGTCATCAAGGAAGCACTGGCTCAAAATGAACTATAACTTATCATCACAATCCCCTTGTAAATAACAAAGCTGGCATCCCATTAGTTAGCTGAAAGCCTGAAGTATTGTGGATTTGGAAAAAAAAATCACTTCCGGCTAATGCTTAATAAAATACCAACAAACTAATTAATTGGAATGAGTTATACACAAACACTCATATCTATATTGCATTGCCTGAGAAGAAGGTTCTATCAAACTGTCAGCCTTTCATAATAAATAACTATAATAATAACAGCACAACAGTGGTTCAGTAGCTAAGTATTCAGTAGAGTAGTGTTTTCTGGTAGAGCATGTGATCCTAATGATTTCAAATACAATAGATTTATGGTGTCATAACTCAGATCTGTCTCTGGTTAGTGCTTGGCTGGAATTTGAAGGATATATTCCCAGTCACAGCATTGAGATTTTACACTGGTGTAGCCATGCTAAATATAATGAAGCCACACAAGCATTAGATGGGAGTTCCACAATAATGAGTCACCTTTAATGAGATGTCTTGAGAGGCATTTTTATCAAATCAAATCAGAAACAAAAAGATACAGAGAGGGTGGAAGGCCCAGTTCTCGTTACAATGTGGGTTCACTGCAGTTATTTCAACAATTACAATTCTCTTTCTACCAAGTGTATTTCAGTTACATTTACCTCTCAAGGATATTTTATTTCTTACTCTTGTCCTTTTCTCTGCCGCTGCACTGCATGGTTTCAGTCTTCTGGATTTGTTTCTAACGTCTGATAGGGAATCGTGTTTCAAACATAAATACCAGAAACTGCCACAGACAAAAAACTCAGGATAATCCTCTTGCTGCACTGAGTTTCATTATGCAAAAGTACAAATGTTATGATATATTAATAGGTACATTTCTTGTAAGAATTGATGCAAATACCATTTAAATCAATGGAACCAACTAGCACTTTGACTAAAGCTCATCAAAAACATTTCCCTCTCCTATAAGTAGTTAAAGGGAAATTAAAGTCTTTTAATAGCAAATCTGTAGACAACAGTGAAACTTTCTTTACTTTTCATTATTTTGCATAAGAACTCAAAAATTAA